GTTTCATTTAAATATGCTGTGGAAATATGTCTTGTTTTCAATCTCACCCGTTCATATGTGTATATATCATAAAAAATTTCAGGTCACATTTTATTTACTCGATCGTTTTTAAATATTTTTTTTTCTTTACTTAAAGCTCCAATGCCAGATAGATTTAAAAAACGTGTCGTTAAACCCCGAGGTGTATCGAACCGGAACCGTGGATTGGCATGGATAAGGAAAAATGCCAGCGATGGTGTATTCTATTTTGCTGACGATGATAATACATACGACTTAGAAATATTTGATCAGATGCGATATACAAAAAAAGTATCGATGTGGCCAGTAGGGCTAGTTACAAAGTATGGACTCAGTAGTCCCATTGTTCGAAATGGAACTATATTCGGATTTTATGATGGATGGATTGGAGGTAATAAAAATTGATTCATTTTCTGTGCATATCTCATTTTTTTCATTTTATTAGGTCGGAAGTATCCTGTTGATATGGCCGGATTTGCTGTGTAAGTTTTTCTTGTTTTTTGTTTATGCACTTTATTTTAATCATTTTCCAATGAAAACTGATGCCACTCATCAAAAACTGAGCAAAATTCAATTAGCAATTTTATTTCAACGTTTAACAATAAATGATATAAAAATAGTTTGTTGTTTTATCTTTATTGTTGAATGAAAATATCAAAATTTGTTCACAATTATAGAAATGTAAAGTTTTTCCAAAGTCGACCGAAAGCGATAATGCCCTATCATGCAGGATATGAAGAGGACAAATTTCTTAGAAGCCTTGCACCACTTAATATCACTGAAATCGAACTACTTGCATCAAATTGTACAGAGGTACATATAATGTTGTACATGTTCATTCATAGTTAAGTTATTCGCAACTTTCGTTCAATGTGGTAAATTTTCATCTATTCCAGATACTAACGTGGCATACACAAACCAAAAAAAATCCAGTTGCATCTCCACTTGATATGCACAAGTACAATGGAACGAACTTAGTTAATCTACATAAATTGATAGTATGAAAACCAAATCATTTAAGTATTTTAAATCTAAATAGAGATTAAAAAATTGAAATGATATAATTAATGGAAACACATGTCACAACCTACAAACGAAAAACTCGTACTTAAGATAGATATTATAATTTAAAGAGAACATGTAAATATTCGAGCAATAAATGTTTTTTCCACTAACGATTTCTTCCAACTAAATTCACTCATTTTTCATCATTAATATGATTTTTGATAATAAGTTGAAATTGGAACCAAAAGCTAATATTACGAGTATTTTCATATGCCATTGTTATTGGGAAGGAAAATGACTTTGTGCTTGACAAAAAAAATTGAAATTGGCCTTATGGAAGACTTGTTGAAAAAAATTACGTTAATTATTCGTATTATTACTGACTGGAAAGTCTATTGGTGGGATGATTTTTTTCAATTTATATTTTGTAAAGGCAAGTGGGTTTTCTGGTGATTCTGTTTGCGTTAAAAGAAAGCATGTTTATTGTTTGTCGTCGCCGTCACTTTTTTTTTAACTTTTTGCGGGATTTAAACAGATAACGGTTTAATGTCTTGAATAAATTTGTAGAACATAAGATCTTCTATAACTTTGGTGTGCGCAATAATCCCTTAACTCTTACCAGTTCCGCGAAAAAGGCAAAAAACTGTTGTAATGAACCATACTTCCATTTTTTACTACGATGTTGAACAAACTTACGTTTTTTTTCTCCTCATTAATATAAGTATAAAACGATTACAGAATAATAATTGATAAATACAAATTAAGATTAAAAATAATTGATTAATTAAAAGAATGACTAATCGAAAATCGAAATCCAAAGAACTTACTAAACAGAGAAAAACATAATCTTAAGTAAAATAGAAGCAAGCATGAACATATCGAATTATTTTCTTTATTGACTGGTAAATTTTTAATATAAATAAGTATTTCTTCATAATAAATAATCACGTAATTAGTAAGCAAACAATGAATAAATATAAATTTAGGCAGAACTTGACTTATCTTCCAAAATACAATAACTAAATTTGATTCTTTAACTTATCAATTGAAAATTCAGAAACCTTACCGATACATTTTTTGAACAGTGTGACACGTTAATTTGAAGAAAAGCAAGTTATATGTCAGACAGAAATTCGCTAGTTATTTGTTTTTATGTTTTAATACATTTAATTCAATTGATGACTTTCCGAAAGTCTCAAAAAGTTTATTTATTCCTAGTCGGAAGAATAAATCGGTTTTTGTCTCCTTGTGCGTTACAGAAAAATGCCTATTGTATAAAACTGAGTCTATCCGACCGAACTTTTGAAGAAAATTTTCGGTTTTTTAAGCGTATCTTCAGAATTCAAAAATGACATCGTATCTAATTTTGATATATTTTCAATAGAAAATGAAAAATCAAATATGCTCGTTACTTAGCTTTTATACAGTATTTATGTATAAGAAAGCCATAATTTCTATTCTTTATGTCAATATGAAATCTTGAGGTGAGATGTCATAAACGACTGAAAAATCATATTTCCCTACCAAATAGAACTTATTCCGAAATTTTGCTCAAATACAGTCGATTCTGATACAGTAGATCTTTTTCAATAGCGTATAAGGAGAAATGACAAAAATCCGACAGAATTTTTTTCGGAATCGTCATAAATATGACATGGAAAATCGTCCATACTTTACTTTTCTTCTCACGTTTATGATATTAAATGCTCTTCATTCAAAGAATCGAAATACCATTACCAGTAATGAAATTTGTGTGTAATATTTTCCATTATGTAGATAAATTGAAGTTTTCAAAACATATACTTTAAATTGTATTTTCTTATCATATTTCTTTGTTCCGAAAAACAACAAATAAAGTGATTATTCATAACGAATTTCTTTCCTCAAGCATTCTACTACGAATTATACGAGATCAAAAAATCTAGTACAAAATCTTGTCCGTCATAAACTATATTTCAAATTTTGACAGCTTCGAATATATGTAAACCGCTTTTGTGTAGTGCACTATAAAATTGTAAGTATTCAAAATCGAGAAAAAAAATCACATTTCTTACCGAAACATCCATCACATTTATTCCAATATAGCGGCAATTTTAGTCGAAATGGATCTCGCAAACTATGATGCGTTAGAAGTTACGATTGTGCAAAATCCACAAATATTATCGGCGTCCGATCTCTCTGAAGAATATCAGAAACTGTCAACATGTTATATTGCACAAAAACAACGCATTGATCAATACATGCAGCAAATTCACATACTCAAACAGGATAAAGCATTAAAGGACAAACTTTTGGATCAAGAACTGCAAGAGATTACAGAAAACTATGATCGTGAATTAAATAATGCTAAGAACAGACATTCATTGGAATGTGGGGAACTGCAGAATCGTCTAACGGAAGCAAGATTGATGAACGAGAAAATCGAGTTAGAAAATCACCGTTTAAAGTGTGAATTTGAAGAAAAAATCAGTCAACTACAAGTGAAATCAGATTCAGGAGTAACAAAAACGTGCAATGACGATGAAACAATTGTATCCAAAAAACGAATCGAATACTTAACTAAAGTTGAATCTGAATACGCTGATCTGGCTGAAGAAATGAATCAAATAAAATTGGAAAAGTCTCAGTTGATGTCTCGAATTACTCAAATCGAGGTAATTGTTTGAGAATATAAATACTATTATTATCTTCGAAAATGAATCAAATATCTAATCTAAATCGTATAACCGTTGAACATTCGTCTATCCATTCAGAATGAGCTGGAATATATGAAAGAATGTTATGAGTGCTCGCAACAAAATTTGAAGTATAAGTCGGAAGAGCTCGATGAAACTCGGCACATCGTTGATTCTTTGCAAGAAAAATTGGTTGGTCTTGAAAATGAACTGATGTCTTATAAAAATGACGATACCGATCACAGTGAGTTATTCGTTCATACATTTTAACTTGAGAAATTCGATGGTGTGATGAGTAAACTAACAAATATTTCAGATAAAAAAGGCAATTCTCTATTCGCTGAAGTAGACGATCAGCGGCAGCAAATGCGAGATTTATTGAGTCGGCAAAAGCAACAATATCAAACGGTTCGTATAAATAACTATAACAAAATAATATTCTTTTCAACTTTTCATATGTTATTCATTTAGATGAAATTGAAATACGAACGGAGCAGTGGGGAAATAAACAGATTGAAGCGCGAAAATGCTGACATGTTGAATGAAATTAAAGAATGCGTTAATATGTTCAAAAATTCCGATAAGTTTCATAAATCAAAACTAAATGAGCATATTGGCTTCTTGAAAACAGAAAACAATCGTTTAAGTGAGAAACTCAAACAAACTCAGCTAGAGATGGATAGCTTGGCAAAAACGCAGGGCGTCAACTGGCTTAGTTCGATGTTGGAATATTGCGAGTGAGTTTTAGTTGCTTATAACAAAGTAATGCATTTCATCTGATCTTTATTTTAAATCAGGAATGAGACCAAAGAGCTAAACTCGAAATTGATGAGTTATGGAATGAAAAAATGTGAAGCTGAAGGACTATATGCCCAAGCACAAGAGCGTGCCGCAAAGTAAGAAACGTAATTTGTATGGTCAAGCATGGGCGAATTTTACCACTTTATTCCACGTAACTGATAAGAAATGAGTGACTTCTGTCTTCAGCAAAGTTGTAGGGCAGATCAAGTACAACAACAATGCTGAAAAACGCGAATTTTCCCTTATCATTTTTTGGCGTAAATGATAAGAGATAACGACTTGATGTCTTCGGCAAAGTTATAGTACTTAACCTATTCTACAACTTATATCAGTTCCGTGAAAATAGAGAAAGCGAATAGGTTTTTCGCGTATTTCGCGGAATTGATAAGAGATAAGCTGAATCAGCAAATTTGTAGAGCGAGTTGAGTACTACAACTTTACTGAAGATACTAAGTCGTTAACAGGTTCCAGTTTTCATACAAAATTTACATGGGGCGCTGTACGCCCCAAGGGACAGGAATATGTTGCAAACTCAAGGGACAATCATAGTGTTGAGAATAATGTTCATAGAAGAGTGCATCCATACTTTTCAGAGAAGAATTAGAATCACTTGAGAACATGAACAGCAAAAACAATTTAAGAATTTTTTTTCATTTGATTTTCTAGGTGGCGCTTTGAAGCGCTTAAATCAAGATGCATTATCATAAATAGAGAAATTCTACTGGAAAACAATAGCATCAGTTTCGATCGAAAAATGCAAAATATTCGACAACAGGTTGAAAAACAATTTGGTCCAAACGAAGAGCCCATAATCGACGATGTTTTATGTTCGGCCGAAGATAGTTTGGCGAAGAATATTTGTGCACCAAAAATGGACAACTCCCCAGTACATGATGATGCGACTGAATGCTGGTCCGATGTAAAAGAAATTTTCGCCAATATAAACGGTTATTTACCACCAGCTGAAAACACAATACATGGTCGACATCTCAAAAATTTACCTCATGTAGCTGATAATACAATAATCATGCTACCAGACGAAGAAGATTCTTTACAAGAAAAAAAATCCACATTTTCCTACAAACGGTACTGAGGTGATGAGCGATTATGCCGAAAATTCAGGAGCTGTTACATCGATTGAAAACAAAGAAAATATCAACCATCTTCCAAAGAAAGACCCGAACCGATCGATTGGATTATCGCCTGAAAAAACTCATGAAACGATACCTGACATATTGACAAACAATTCGGAGCACCATGATTCTCAAAACCGTGTGCGACAAGTAAATGTTGAAATGTTCACAGTGACCTTGAAGCGCAGGGATTCACCGAAGATCGAAAAATGAATATTAATTACAATAATACATAATAATATTTAGTAATACAACTTCTCAGTAAATAATAATACATTTCATACAAAAACCATAAATATAATTTTTTTTATTTACATCACAGTAATTTCGTTAACAAATTAGAAGAGTGCATACCAAAATTTGAATTGTAAATCTAAAAATGTAATCGCTTATGTCACTGATCTGATCAAAACATTTTACATACGTTTGAAAATATTTGAAAACTCTTCTCTATGACCTAATAATCTATATCATAGCGGCGAAGCGTTGGACGCAAGATTCGCGTAGTGTTGTAAGTACCTAAGTATTGTCGTACTTTGCCGCACTTTGCGATTGACGTTTCTAATAAACAATGACAATCAATGAATCAAGCAACAAGAGAGCAACAAGTTTGTTTTTGAATATAAATCGAGTGGTTAGTTTAATGCAATTCAACGAACAAAACGATTTGTGTAATAAAATATTTGAATTTTTTTGATTCTCGATAATTCATGTGCAATAAATAACAAATAATTTTCTGTTTATGTGTATGTCGTATGAATTAGTATAAATTTTGCTGTGGCAAGTCGTTAAAAGACAGTACAACTTCAATGTGTTGATGTGAATGTTGACTGAACTTCAGGAGTCAAATTTTCTTTTGCTTCGTTTTTGTTTAAAAATAAAATGGGAAACATCATAACAAACGAGAGTAGTTTTCATTTTTTTTCATTACTTTCATAGACTGTTGTAATTTTTATGAAGTGGAATCAATACATTTAAGTGGCCGTTTACACGCAAACTGACGTTTAAACAAATACCGTCACCGTTCGTCTGTACGCAATCTGTGGCACAAATTGTGCGATCGGTGGCACAAAATCGTGTGTTCGGAGGAACAGAGCGTCTGGTACGTATGTTTGTAAACGTAATAAAATTGAGGTTATGATGAACAGATTGACTTGACTCCTGAAAAACAAGTTAAATTTACTCACTATATGATACATCCATATTATTCAGTTCATTTAATGTTTAAAAAATGAATTTTATGGATTATGGATCTATGGAGTATTACAATTAAATTTCGACCACTACAATAACCGTAGGTGGTTCTACAATTATTTTTAGGTCACTACAATTAATTCTGGGTTACTACAATTAATAAAACAGTTTGGACCAGTTTTGGAGCATTTTTTCTCCCTACAAAAACAAAACACTGCTGTTGTCAAATAAGTTGTTGAAAATATCAATAATCGGACGACTGATTTGAATTCTACATTTTTTCTACAATTTTATGGACCCTAGAAATAATAAAAAAAAGGTTTAGTTTGTGGAAAGTTCGATTTGAGGCCAAGATTTGAGTATTACCGATTTTGGACCAATTTTCATGACTCGTCCCGATATCGAACAAACGGGCAGACATATTTGAAAACTGACAATTGATTTGAATTCTACAATTTATCTACAATTTTTTGAAACCATTCTCCATTCGAAAAAACATTTGATTCATGGAAAATTCGTTTTTTGACCAAGATTTGAGTATCCCCATTTTGGAGCGGTTTTTCGATAGCCGATTACTCAAAAAAATTGTTCATCGACGATTCCACACCAAGCGGGACAAAATTTGCAAGTGACCTCTCCGATTTCGCTCAAACTTGGTGTATAAACTCCTTATGGGCAAAAACTCGCAAAGCCAAAAAATTAGGGTGACCTTCTCCACCTGATTGAAAATTAGGGTGACCCAAA